GGGTGTGGGTGTGGGTGTGGGTGTGGGTGTGGGTGTGGGTGTGGGTGTGGGTGTCGGTGTGGGTGTGGGTGTGGGTGTGGGTGTGGGTGTGCGTGTGCGTGTGGGATGTGGGTATGGTTGTGAGTGTCGGTGTGGATGTGGGTGTTGGGTGGGGTGGGTGTCAGTGTGGGTGTGTGGGTGTGCCTATGCCTGTGCCTTTGGGTGTGTTTGAGTGTGGGTTGGGGGTGTGGGTATGGGTGTGGGTGTTGGTGTGTTGGGTGTGGGTGTTGGGTTTGGTGGATGTCAGTGTGGGTGTGCCTGTGTCTGTGCCTATGCCTGTGCCTGTGGGTGTATGAGGGTGTGGGTTGGTGTTGTGTGGCTGTGACTGTGACTGTGGGTGTCGGTGTCTTGGTGCGTTTAGGTGTTTGTTTCCCTGTTAACCACTCCTACCCATACCGACACCGACACTCGCACCTTCGGAATAGTCACAAAAATCAAAGGAAAATGTAAGATACTTTCCACTCCTGTAATGAGAAAATAATATGGGAAACTACTTATCTTAACTCTTCACTTGCAGAATCCTAATATTTTCTGTATCTTCACTCTTATAGTCTAATTTTTTCATATTATTTATCCTAATTGTCTGATTCATTGATAGCTCTCCATCTATTTTTCTATAGATACATTTATTTCGACGCATCTGCGGTTTCAATTAGAACTCGATCTTTTGGATGAAAGTTTTGTTCCGTTATCACTGAATGTATCTCAGAGTCGCAAAAAGAATGAGAAATTGTTCGTTTCAAATGACTGACAAAGTTTGAGTTTTTCATTGTTCAATCGATACGCATTTCCTTGTATTGTTGTCTCGATCAGAATTATATTAGTACTATCGAGTAGTTGAAAATTAACCTGTTCCAATGCAAAGAAGTTGCAGTATTCCAATTAATATATTGTCACCCCATATGAAAAAAGGTTTCTCTCTACCGATATAGGTGTATTCCAATTTAGTCATATTTGGAATAAAATAATGTAATAAATTCTCGAAATCGGGAAAGATATGGTTTTGTACAAAACTGTGGGGTAGAAAATAACTCCATTAAATAGTTTTGGTCTCTAAGTACGAATCTGTTTTCGCTACTAATTTTAGCCTATTAAAAATAATCGATGTGAGAATAACAGTTCTCGATTCTCTTCTCGCTTCTCCTTATATCATGAAATCAATATAGGGGAGATAATGTTTCGTGTTTCAACTGTAACAAGTAGCAAGGCCTGAAGTAACACGAATATCAGGAATCTACCTTAAGAATGGTAGGGAAAAAGTAGAGAACTTCAAGTTTATCTTAACAATTAGCAGAGTTAGAACAAGTACGATACCTATACTTTTGTTACAGTGCCAGTGCAATACTCTGCACTTATCTTTTAAGAAAAGTTCTTATACTTGTTAAACCAAATACAAGGGTTCCTACTTGGTACTTAAACAACAGAAAAAGTAAAAGTAAAAATACTTTCGTTCTAGCTCTGACAATTAGTTTATATGTTCTCATTCCAATTTTCATTTTTAGTGTATGCTTCGAATCGAATTCAGGCTAGTTTCATCTTGTACAAGCTTTATCTATTTCATATTTGAAAATCCAAATTCATTTATCTGAAACAATAAATCAACATCAACACATTAAAAAAATAATATTCTCAAAAAACATAACAGTTGATTTTATCAAACGCCTCAATTTAACGCGAACAATGATACAAATCAAGACATTAAACGATGGAACTCATGATATGTTTTTGATGGTAAGAAAATATTCTATTTTGTGCTTACCTCCATCGATAAAATTCCCATCATTACATGTGAAGCTGAGGTCAACTAAGTCATTACAACAGAGAGAAGCCGATTCTACAGTTATGTATTCGATTGATCGTTGGTACTGTGAAAAAGCGTTCATGAAAGTGTCTGCTGATATGCTAAACAGTATGGTGAATTTACCTTTACAAGTTGCAGATGTTCTGTTCGACATATAGTTTGATGCGGAGTTTGTTCGGTTGACGCAACTATTTTAAAAGTATATTGTCATTAAGGTGATTCAATGAATGTCTGAAGTATTTAATAATATACTTCCACAGTTGTCTTAAAATATGAAAAATTGTTGGAGAAGCTGAACCTTGAATTTTGACGTTCTCACCCATGTAACCGTTGTGACAAATAATGGATGTAATTACATGATCATACAATCTATTTCATTAATTTTAGCGCATCATTTTGCAAATAATATAATATACGTCACTGAAATCTATAAAACAGATTGCATTATCATGTAATTACATCCATTATTTGTCGTAGTACATATGTAGTTACATGGATATCATCTTGAACGAATATAAAAACTTATATATGTGTTGTAGAGATTCTTTTCGGGGATCAAGGCGACAGAGCCAAGGAGAAAAATCTCATTTGGAGCCGTTAGATCTCAAATAGATGGGAATGGTCGGGAATGTCCGAATAGATTTTTTTCGCCTTGACTCTAAGGTATTCGCGCGACAGCTTTAGCTTTCAAATTCTAATCGAGAATCAAAGGAACGACTAGACATTGCTGTGAACAATTCATCGAAGCTATACTTCAAGCAAGGCTGTAATCGATAGAAAAAATTAATTTGTTCGGTCCAATCAGACGAAGCTGTGTTCCAAGCGATTAAAAATTGAAAGCTTTTTGTCTGCATCAATTCTGGGAAAAATTCTTCTTCAGAAATAAAACATTTTAAAAGTATATCTGACAAAAGACGTCACTTGATGAATTTGTATTAAAATAATCTTCGCGCATATAAAAGGAGAGCAGTTATTTCGCGGTTGAAGCTCAAGAGATGATGGCTTTGAGAATCGTACACTGAGAATAAAAAAGTAGATTTATTCTCGAACCTGTATCCACGGAAAAACCGATGAGTTTCGTACGGCCCTGCAAAACTTAAAAAGCTTCGGCAGAGTCTGCGAAACCTTTTTAGACTCCCTAAATTAGTATAAAATCTAAAAGATTCTTCCTCTATATACGGGTCCGGTAATAAGTCTATTTTTTTAGGATCTTTTTACTGATAGTACGTACACAGAATTTTCTTTCAAAAAAGAGTCAGGAAATTCGTAGAATGAATACTACCTTGTTTGTTGTATTTTTGTTTGACATAATCGATAGTATTGATACAACGATGAAGGTCTGGATGATCCGGTGAAAGTGTGTTACGATGAATAGAAGCCGCTCTGCTTAAAAAGACCAACGCTTTTTGACCATTGCCCTTCTTCAAATAAGTCAGTCCCATATTGTAGTAAGTTTGTGCGATGGATGGATGTCCGGATGGCAACGATACTTTGAATATATCCAATGCCTTCTCAAAATATTCAAGTGCTCGATCATATTCATCATTGAAAAAACAAGCATTGCCTAGATTGGTAAGTGCCCTTGCAATATCAGGATGCGTATGTGGAAAAATTCTTTTTCGAATATTTAATGCATCCATGTAATATTGAACTGCTTCAGTGAACTTACGTTGCTCGAAATAAGTAACGCCCAGATTATTCAAACAATTGGCTACCGACTTATTTTGATCACCAAATAATTCTTTAAATATATTTAATGCTTGACTATATTTATCGATGGCTTGATTGAGTTCTCTTCTCATTTGATGAATATTGCCCAAATCTTGTAAACATTTTGCAAGTCCAACACGATTTTCCATTTGTTCATATTTTTTAAATGACTTGTTTAACCATTGATAACTGATCTCCACCTCTCCTTTTGCTCTTTTCACAAGCCCTATTGAACTCCAAAGATCGGCGATCAATGGATGATCGTCTGCTAATTCATTCAACATTCGATTGAAAAACTGTTCAGCTTTATCGTACATTCCTGCAGTCCGCAATGTGTGACCAAGTGAAAGACATTTATATTCTTCATTTTCCATTTGCATATGTTCAAAAAGAAGTTTCATATCATGATCATAATTTCCATTGCATAGTTCCATTTGAATGACAGTGATTTCTTTCTCTTGATGAATGTCAACAAGGCGAAAGATGGTTGCAATCATAAACAGAATTTCTTGTTCGTTTTCGAATTGACTCTCCGAACTGATGTTAGCAAATGGCTTCATTCCATCAGATAAATGAGGATCAACATCGATTTCGAATAGAACACGATAAAGATCATCATGTTCAGATGAAACAAATGAAAGAGATTTTTGTCGATTAAGACTTGTTGAGAGAAATGAATTCATCGATATGAATTGTCCTTTAGATTTTTTCAAAATATCCAATTCTTTTTTTGACATTAGTTGACCTCGATAAACACGCATTGACGTCCGATTTTGTTCTTGTTGTAAATTTTTAAGTTGTTGGTATAAATCTTGCATAAAGAATCGAAATAGAAACAGAACATCGATGTTTTGAACTCGTAGAGCTTTATTTAGCATTCTATAGAGAAATGAATGTCGGGTATACCAATAGAGAGCTCTTTCTGGAGTATAAGATTCTTCAAATTGCCTTAGTATGGACAATTCTACGTTATTACCTTCATATTCACTTTTGCATAGATTGAAAAATTCATCTCGACTTGTCTGACGGTAATGAAGGCGAAGTAGAGCATCAATAAGAAGTTGAAAATGAAGAAAACCACCATTGATATTTGTTGACGAACGTTCTTCATTTGACATAGAATTGAATATACTTATGGGGAGATGGTCATCGTACGATTTTTCTCTTCTCTTTCGATCCACGTTGATTTTCTCAATTAGTTCATTTAAATCTGTAACAACTGCTCGAATTTTGGTAAATTTTGAGGTCCATTCTTTATGTTTACTTGAATTTAAACAATATACATAGATCGAATTGATTTGTCTCAATGAATGAATAAGGGGAACAATGACAGATCCTAATTGTCCACTAACAATTAGTAAAATTTGATCATCTTTCGATTCACGAATGTAAGTTTCACATTCTGAGCCATTTTCAAATACTCTTATATGATTAATAGCCGAACGAAGCTGTTGCTGAGCATTACGATTTTCATTGGAATTAACCAAACCGTCCAACCATAGAAGAGAATGTGTTTCCAAATTGTTACTCCTAATTAATACTGATGAAACAGAAGACATTATTGAAACATTAATTGATACAATTTATCTTTCTTATTACTATTTATATTCTATGCTTGAGCTTATCCTTAACTTAGTGGCGGATTCAGCGTTCGGTGATTCGACTACCGCCACTTAATCCTCACGAATATAAATAACAACGAAAATTTTTATTAAATCTCACTGATAAATATTTGCACAGGACAATTAGAATCTTGCAATGGAGAGAGTCAGCAAAGAATGCTAGTCTCGGTTGCTTAAGAACGATTTGAATGATTCGTAAAGCTCTTTAATGAGTAACAGGGACAAATGGAGAGAAAACATTCATCGTTACTTCCTTTAATTAATAATTAATTACAAAATACATCGAAAGTAAACAAGAATAAATAGAAGTTTGAGGTGTTTAATATAAAACGGCGCTGAAAGTGAGATTTAAAATCCAACAATCTAAGAGTGTGTATAAAAGATCTTTTTAATGTTTTTTTTGAAAAAATATATGTTCTTTGCATGACTTAGGATATCCTAGATGAGGATTCGCTCAGGGAGGAGCCAAACGGAACTGGCGGTGACCTAGATAAAACTCGACACGCTCTATCAGATTACACCAATTACTTTTCTAAAAATCCCTTTTATTCCAAAAACACCTAAAATGCTACTAGAAAAAACTTTTATATTTGCCAGAACTTTGCCGATTCGTGGCGGTATGGGATTAAATTGAATTAATCATGGATCAAGATAGAACTCGAAGCAGCGTATCAATTCCACACATTACTCGTTAAATCTGATCCGACCATCAATGAGAAAATCGTTAATGAGTCCTTTGTTTATTAATAATCTTGTCAGAATGTTTACTACGAGAGAGCGAGAAGTTTTTCGCAAATGAACAGGTTTGTCTATGAAATAACACAGTCTTTTGGAGAAATTGATTAGTGCACCGGATAGAGCTCGTCAATTTCTATTTTGGTCTATCGTTGGTCTAGTTTGACCCTTTTCTTAAGCGAATCTATTCAGAAAATACTTAAATCCTGACATACGATATCGTGTGTATCAATTTAGAAACTTGATAAAAAGTAAAAACAAGGAGTTTTCTTTAATAATTCATGTCAGAAAAAAATGACATTTTCCAAAATTTTTTGTTTTTATTAAAAGGACTTTCTTTGTAATTAATTTGTTTTTCTACTGAACAATTCTTTCTTTCATTTGTTATCTTAAAAAATAACTCAATTTTGTACCAATAAATATTCTTCATCATTAGCAAAGAAATATTTTCATTTCTATTTGAGATTTATAATGGACGAAATTAATATTCCTTGAAATAAATTATGAATTTATGTATTTTAAAAATATTGATTACGCAAGAAACTCGCTCATTCTTGCATGGAACTCTCGTTTAAAAATGATCGAAGTTCTTTTAATGAACTCACCAGTTGATTTATTTTGAATTTTGAATTCAAGTGCTTTCTGTTTCCATTGGACGCTCATATCATAGTCACGTGTATGTGAAGCAAGTTCACCAAGGTCTTCATATAAGTTCCAAATTAAAGGGTCATTCGGTGAAAGTTCATTTAATAAACGTTTAGAATATTTTTCAGCTAAATCGAATCTTCCCATTTTCCACAATACTTTTGCTAGTGTTCGAAGATCTGTTTCTTCATTTTCAATTTGTTGTTTCATATGCAAAAGAACTTCTTTTAAATCATTCTCATCATCACTACACAAACTCATTTCAATGATCCAAACATGATCATCACTACAATTAATACTTTGAAGACGAAAAATCGAACCAATCATAAAAAGTACTTCTAATTCATTAATAAAATGACTGTCTTTACTGATATCAGCAAATGGTTTTATAGTAACCATTTGAGGATCGACATCGATCTCGAACAATACTCCCTTCAATTCCAAATTAATCAGTGAGTTTGTATTACCCAAGAAAAAGAGAGCTGTTTTACGATCTGTACTGGTGGAAAAAAATGAACGTATGGAAATGAATTGTCCAATGTGTCGTTGCAGAATATCTAATTCATCGTTTGACATCATTTGACTTCGATAAACCCGTAAAGGACTTTTGACTTGGCCATACTGTAACTGATGCTGTATATCTGATATGAACTTACGAAATAAAAAAATCATATGAATATTTTGAGTACGTAATGCTGCATTAAGAGTTTTGTAAAAGAATGATTCTCTTGTATACCAGGATAGCACATTATTAGATGAATATTTTTCCTCGAATTCATAAAGATTATTTAGTTCACTATGATTACCTTCATATTCAATTCTACAAAGTTTAACAAGTTCAGCTTTATCTGTTTCAGTGTATTTTAGTCGTAAAAGACAATGGATAAGAACTTCATGAAAAATAAATTCACCATTTAATATTGATATTGATTTGTCTTCACCAACATTTTTCTTGGTGAAAAAATTGATTGGTAATGGTTCTTTTACCTTTTTTTGAATTTTATGATCCGCTCTAATTTGAGAGATAAGTTCATCAAGTTCAACGACAACATTTTTCACCTGTTAAAAACTCGCATGATATCAAGTTGAAATCTTTTATTATAATTTTACTTTTGGAAATTTACAAGGCCATTGTTCATTACTCTTTTTATCCATGCAATAAACATAGATTGAGATAACTTGTCGAAGACTGTGAATGGATGGTACTATTTCTCGTCCTAATTGACCACTAATAATAAGTATTAATCGATCATTTTTTGATCTTTGTTCAATATATTGTTGACATTGTTTTACATCTTGAAATTTCCTCAAATGATTGATAATAGAACGTAATTTTTTTTCTGTATCTGGAGTAACTTCAACGTTCACATTCTCATCAAGCCATATAAGACAAAATATTTCAAGATTTTTATCGTCTGTGTTCGTTTGAAAATCATCACTTGCTAGAATAGCAGTAGTCATATATTAATTAAAGAGGCTAAATTGTATAAACATCTAAAATATTATATCTCATCTATTTATTGAACAAAATATGTCTTTTTGTTTCTCAAATAGAATGTTACAATTTTACTTTCCTTCTCTTACCACGTGTGATTCCGGAATTTCGTTAATAAGACTTTCGATAACACGCTTCCTAGAACTTTGCGAATTTCACTGTAAATTAAACGTAGACTAAAAACACATTTATCGACTACCCTGATAAGTATAGGCTATCAGATATATATTCTAATGATAGTAGCTTTAGCTCCGACATACACCCTATATTAATACCGTTTCTTGACAGCTGGTGAAGTTCTCGTGAGCCTACGACGGTATTATCATATTGGTTTTTATAAATTTCGTAGAAAGAAAAAACGCCGAAAGTAAAAAAATATCGAAAGTACTATTAATGCTGCTTCAATTCATCTTTTAACCAACACTGAGGCATAAATAATCAACAGCAGCATCCATATTTTCCAACTATACATGATTAGCTTCCACTGAAGCGGTATTAATGACACTTTCAATATTTTCTCTGTCGACATTTTTTGGCTTAGGCGTTTTTTCTTCCTTCCAAATCTATGCATAACGTACCTACCATTGCCCATGTAAAAAAAATCGAAAAAAATCAGATTTTTTGTGATTCTTTTTGCGATTAAAAATCGATTAAAATGAGACGGTTTTAATCAGATTTTTAATCACAAGATAATCGATTAAAATCAGACGACTTTTCAACAGATTTTAATCAGCTTTCTTAATTTCTAATAATTATAAATCGATTATTGGATTCTTTATCATTTTTACCCAGTCAAAAGAATAATGAGAAAATGGTCATTAAAATGCATTCTTTTTTTGTTCACACACCATTTTGACCATTAAAGTACATTTGAATCAATTAAATAATGGAAAAATAGACATTAAAATGCATTTTGGTTGGCAAATGAATTATTTCTCCCGTTTATAATGCATAAATTTACTTTTTCGGTATACTGACTATTTATATTGAAACTTTTTCGCTCAACTTCATTCAAAATGCTTCACGAAAATAATGTTCTTATCATCTACAATAATTGGATATAAATGTAGAGTCTGAAATGAATTAAATTCTGAGAATTTGTAAAGTTTAGAAATTGTTTGAAATATCTTCAAACTATGCACTCAAAATTAATTAGCTGATTGCAAAATGTTTATTTTCTAGAATAGTCTCTTATGTGGATTCTTAACATTTGGATATTGGAAAAAAATAAATATATTCGATCTTGATTGTGTTGGATTATAATTTGGTCGAAATGCCAATTTTTGAATGACATCAGATGGATCAATAATAACAGTTGAATCAGGCAGAACGGTACCTTGCATTATATTGTTACATTTAAACATTTTTCCTTGAAGATTGAGCGTGTCTGCATCAGAAGTAATGTTTACTTGATTTAAAAGAAAATAAATTTCGTTTTTGTCTATCAGATGACCAATACATAAAATGAACCCAATTTTGTACTGATTTGTTCTTGACTTGTAGAGAACACAGGCATCATTTGTAGGTTGAATCATATTAAAATCATCCCCATGTCACCACTTTTTAACAACTGCGTCGCAGTCACGCGCAGTAGTCATTCTGCGACGCAGTTGCGCGTAACTGCGACGCACTCGTCGCAGTTGAGATTAAAGAAATAGACTGCTTTCACTGCGACGCAGTGAGCGCAGTGTCTGCTAAAGTGTTCACTATTCTCGCAGTTGCTGAAAAAATAGCCAATAATAAATAAGTACAGTAAAATCTCTCTATAGTGGACACCCTTCGGACCTTTCACAAGTGTCCACTATATGGAGGTGTCCACTATGAGGAGGTTAAGTGTTTTTCAAAGAACAATATCTTTTTCGAAGAAGTTGTTCCAGGTCAAATCTCGTCGATTCGACATAATGTTCACTTTTTCTTAGTGATAGTAACAAAATGACACAAGTTTTACAATGGGATTATTGATATACGCGTCTTCTCTATTTAACACGACGGACGTTTTCTTTTTCTACAACTCAGACGTATTTTTTTTCATTCCGCCGCCTGATCAATAAAGAACAGTCATTATGTTGTATGATCGATGGTAGTCATTGCGACATTTTCTTTGAGTTCATAACTAGTGTCCACTATATAGAGGTTATTTATGCAAAAGGGACCATGAAAAAGTATCCACTATATGGGAGTGTCCACTATATCGAGGTGTCCACTAGACGGAGGTTCAATTACAGCAAAAATCGTTTGGTCAGGTCCCAAAGTGTCCACTATAACGAGGTGTCCACTATCGAGGGGTGTCCACTATGGGAGGTTTTACTGTATCTTAATTTTCCAATTCGATGGCTCTTAAACACCAATAGTAGCGGCTAAATGTAGTATAAAAGAGCACATCTCAAGCATACGAGCTCATTGGGTGTGGGTGTGGGTGTGGTTGTGGGTGTGGGTGTGGGTGTGAGTGTGGGTGTGGGTGTGGATGTGGGTGTGGGTGTGGGTGTGAGTGTGGGTGTGAGTGTGGGTGTGGGTGTGGGTGTGGGCTTGGGTGTGGGTGTGGGTGTGGGCGTTGGTGTTGGCGTGGGTGTGAAGTGTGGGTACAGACAAACAGAGAACAACACCCATACCCATCCATATGCATAGCCAAATACCCGCACCCGCATACCAATCCACACACCCACACCGCATAAGAAGCAATAAAAAATATTGAGCTATTCATTCGTTATTAACGGACACATAACTATATACCATACCGCTTTCTGTTTTCGTTCAGTATTCAGTTGATGGAACTCCGCCACTTTCTATTCCCGAAAACTAAAAAATGACATGTCTGGGTTTCGGATGATGAAAAGTGATTTCTTTTGATATTTGTTGAACCCGCTAAATAGAAGACACTTCTTTGTTTGTAAAGCAAATAACGATTGAATAGCCCACAAGCGAATAGACATTATAAGAGAAAAGAAGGAAAAAACGATAGTGACATTGAAGTATTAGCGTACAGGTGAAGTCGCAATACTAGACTCAGGCCGAGAGCAAATAAAGAATATTATTCATTGCTTTCTTTTTGTTAATGCTGCGGAAATAATATATTCAAATTTCGTCTTTTTTTACATGATTTGATCTAGTCGTATGGAACGAAGTGTTTATTATCTCTCATCTTTCATACTCAGTAAAAGCAACTATGATGACTTCTATTGTTATTCTCTTCGTGCTCTGCTCTTTCAGTCGAAACATTAGTTCAGCATTTTCACTTGTGACAATTTGGCTTTCTTGTTTTCCCTTGAAAGCAATGGTTTTTACAACTAATCCTCATGCTTTGTTTATATCGGTTAATAGATAAAAAAAACGTACTGCCATCTCCACGTATGTTTGTCCGACCCAAGCGGTAGAAATGTCATTCGACGGAACTACAGTAGGTTGACGTGAAGTCCGATGATTTATAAGCGCTTGTCAGAATTTGTGATGCTATCGTTCGCATCCAAAATCGTTGTTAAAATGACGATTTTTTCATTACGGACTTATAAAAGAAACGAAGATCAGGTACAGACAGCGAGGAGCGATAATGAATCTGAACAGTAAGAAAGAGGGAGAAGTAGCAAGAGAAGAGGAACACGAACCTATATAAGCTGTCTTGTCTTTGCTGTGAGCAATGTATCATGAAATAGTGGGTGACAGGGGATTCTCCGTGTGCACTTCGGGTGTATACAAATCTTATCATCATGGGTAATTGTTTGCCACATTCATTGAAGGTCTCGAGAAGATTTGCATTCCTCATCTCGATCTGACCGAGTGTCGTCTAGTTTTTTCCTTCACTTTCTCCTCCTGGAATGAGTTCAGTGCATTTCTCATATCTGTGTGTGAGACTAAAGGTAACTTATCGACAGCTAATATCCGTGCATGTCCTGACATGTTATACACGTTCTGGAAGACTATTCATGGCGTTGCCAATGATTCACCTCTCTTCTCCTTGCACATCATACTCTTTCAGATATCCCATTGGCGTAATCACAAACAACACTTACTTACATCTTTGCAAATCACTCTTGCATAAGCCTACATAAGTAAGTAGGCTTCTGAAGACAAGATAAACCACACTCATTCCTTTATACCTTTTCTATTTCAACATCACTTTTACCTCATATTGCAACCGCAGTTATCGAAGAAGGAAGAAAATGATCAAGGTATTTCAACTGCTGTTAGGTATAATGTGCCTGGCTCTACTACTTCTGGTGGCTCCCAACATGGCAGGTGATGATGGCTGGCCAGCATGGTATTTAGGTAAGTAATTCACGTATGTCAATGGCAACATTGCCAGTCTCAGTACGACACACAGATGTGCTTTTTTTGAAGAAGTACATGCGGCATCATCCTCATTGACCCATTTCATTGATATCCTATTTGCTTCTTGTAAGAGACCATTAGAGAGATGACTCAGTCACATAGGTATGTATTCGGTGTGAGCGAAAGCAAGAGCCTGTTGGAAAAAAAGAGTAAAACTCTAAGAGAAGTAGATGAACATATCCATACATATCTCTATTCGCTATTTTCCCAAAGTCTATCTATTAGTAGTTTACAATAGCTATTCTCTGTTAGATTTAACAAAGGATTTACCAAAGAATTTAACAAGAGGTA